CCTACCCCAGCCCACCAGCACCTTCTGCACCAACCGCCCTGCCAGCCCTCCACGCAAGACGGGGCTGCAGGCATCGAGGACGGCCGGTCAGGGGTGGGGATTGATTTTTCTGCCGAAACCCATCAAGTTGTGCGTTTCTGCCCCTCCCGGGCTGCAATGCATCTGACAGGCACCTCCTGCCGGGCTGCATCTCTCCCCTGCTGCTGGGCTTTCGTGGCTGCCGCCCGCGGCAGGGGGGGTTACACGCATGACGGAGGCAGGTGGTGCCTCCCCACCCTCCTCACCCTCAGTTTGCCCCCTAAACCAAGATTTAAGAAGCTCTGTTCCACCAAAGAGGTGTGGAGGAGCGGGGATATGTCTGACCCAAGTGTTTCCCCTTAACGCTCATCAGGCAGCCAATTGATTTAACATAATCCAAAACAAATCTCCAGGTGTTCTGGGAGCTGTAGCCAGACCAGTCCAAGTAACGATCCAAAAAAAACACTTGAGAAATAAACTGTTCCCTCCACCTGGAGAAGAGAGTCCACACCCTGCACCGCTCTGACCTGGGAGGCACATGGCCAGGGGGATGGAGGGAGGTGGTGGGACGGAGGTGGTGGGACGGAGGTAGGGCAGCACTGGCTGAAGAGTTCAGGAGGAGCAGGGTGGATGGGTGTGGAGCACATGTAGGTCTCACACCTACAGGGGAGAACCCCCTGCCAGCTGATAGGAAGGGAAGCAAATGGAGCTTTTTGGTCTCACCAGCGATGGTGGAAGAAGAACGAGCAGCTGGAATCTGCTCAGAAACGTGGCCAGGTCCGTGGCCCTGAAAACACTCGAGGTGGGGAAGGTTTGCTGCATGAGGAGATGGCCGACGCCCTGTGAGAGCTACAGCGGCTCAGGACCACCACCTTTAATAGCTCGTCAGAGACAAATTTGATGACAACGAACGTACCTGGAGGCACAAGCTGCACACGAGGATCATGGGGTCCATAAAAACCTCCGCTTGGTCCCTCCCTGCGTGGTCCCCAAGGAGGAAAGAGAGCAGAGCACCACCAGTCACCCACAACCTTCGCTCTTCTTCCTTGAGGCAGGACAGACAGCGAAACCTCCGGCTGAGAAACCAACTGCCCAGCCACAGGACGGGGCAGGTTCCCTCCCCATCCCGCAGCACAGCCTGGGCTTGTCCCACAAACCTTGGACGAACGAAGGCCTGGCCACACCAGCCCTACAGCATGGTGTACGACGAGTCCCTGTGGTGCCTTTTCTCTCAAAGCAGCATAGTTGGAGATTTCATTGCGTCAGAAAGAGACTGACCCCTTGCTCGTTCCCATTTCTGCCAGGGTCACAGCAGCAGTGACCTCAAAGGTTTCCTTACCCACCTAGGCACGTTCCTCCCCATCACTGCCCCCTCACAGGGACATCAGACAACTTTTTTGAGGATGCTCAACTGAAGAAAGGACCTCAAGGGGGTAGCGATTACGTTCCTGGCTCCCCCTCAGGCTCATGTCTCAGCTTAAGCATCTCTGTTCTGCCCAAGCCCTGTTCAAGGCATTTAACCCCCCCGTATCAAACGCCTCTGCAAGAACCAGGCGACTGAGCCCCACAACACATTACAGCACCTTCCTGATGTGGATGGTGAGATCAGGCCCGGACCCTGCTCTGGTGTCCCCGGGAAGGGGCAGGGCAGTGCCCCCCACATGTCCCCGCGGCTCCCAGCCACCAGCACCAACCTGATTTTGCAGTCAAAAACACCACCCTGCCTTGTCCTTGAGGCACCAAAAGTCTCTGTCGTGTTAGAGAGAGGACACAGGAGCAGCACCCAGAGAATCCGACACGGGAATCCCGACGGATAAAGCATCAACACACGACGGGGAAGCTCAGGTTAGCAAAGCTGCAGCAGCTGGCAGCTCCTCGGGCATCACCACTGCCAAGTAAAATCCTGTTGGAAGAGGATGTTTTCCTTCACCGGTGGGACTGCACACCCGACCCGTCAGCACCGCTTGCTGCTGAGCAGTTTCACCTCTGGCTTGCTAAAGTGCTGTCGGGTACAAACCTCTCGGTGGCATTAGCCCTGCCGTCTCTCCGCCGCCGCACACAAGAAGTCACACTCTGAACTCTGTTCACTCATATAAAGAACTTTAAACATACAGCTCAGGAAAAGAGCGATGAAGAAGGCTAGAGGTACAGCAACATCCAATCTTACTTTAATAAAATGCATTTCAAAAGAAAGCCCGCACAAGTTTTATGAGCAATAGAAGCCCCCGAGCCTGCAGAAAGACCGACGTCTGCTCCATCCATCCTCCAACCCACCAACCCAACCTTGCAAAACATGCAACGTACACTCCCAATCAACTTCACCTTGTTGACAGCACCCTACCGAAAGTTACAGGGCTTCTCCCTTCCCTCTCCCCACTTCTTTTTTTTTTTTTTTAAACTAAGAGGGGAAAAAAATAAAAGAAAACGAGCCTAAAAACTTCCAAAAGCAAGACAACAAGAGGAAAGGCATGTAAACAGTTGGCAAGTAAGTCATATGGATTCTCATACAGGTGCTGTGTTTTCAAAAGACCAAGCAAGTTTGCTAGCAGAGGAGTGCGTGTGTCGTAAGAGGTAGTGTCATCCGTCAACACTAGCAAATAAACCAGCCAAACTTCAGGAAAACTTCACCAGAAGTTGAATTTCAATGTACAGCGTAAGAATTCACTATAAAAGGCTCCCATTCAATGTGTCCAGGAAAACGCCAGCTGTCAGAGATACATTTCGTAATACAAAAGGACTTAACAACATCTAGCTACTAACGTGAGGTCTGCAGTCATTTCTGTTGACAGAAAGGTTGGATTTGCTTTTAGAAAATGCTGTCGTGTATCCACAACCATATTCAGTGACATACGCAGCTTTAAACTTCAAGTGCACACTAATTTAGAAAATCTACACCGTTGTGGTGTGCAGATGGACCTAGTAATCGTATATAAAACGCACTTTTTTGTTATCTCCGGTGTCTGCTGAGCCAGCACCGCGCACACAGAAGTACTTTGCTTTGTCCCTTATTACGATGCACAGTAAGGGAAAGCCTCACATGCGTGAGGGGAGAAGGTCCCATTAGCATGTAGTCCTGTCTCAGAGTAGCTTCACATTGTTGCTACACATTGACGGGTGCGAGAGCCCTCACAGGTAAAGGGACTCTGCGTTTATTTGAGGGTGTTGACTTGTGGTCGCTCGGAGAGTCAGCCAAGAGCACAAGACGGTGACTTGGGAACCCTGGGGCCACTCGCAGCAAAACGCACAAAGAGCTACGAGTCCTTGACAGGCAAACCATCTGCGCATCAGGTCAAGGAACTGCTCTTAAGCACCAGACCCAAAAAAGTTATTTATTTGCCTGACCTAGGGAGGAGAGCCTTTTTGGAGGTCCATCACCTGGAGTTGACAGCTCTGCTCGGTACTCTATGTGGCAGCAGTAAGACCGTAATGAAAGCCACTATTTCTCAGGGACAAAACTCCCATCAGTGTCAAAGGGAGCAGACCTGGATGGGTACTCCCATTCCTTCTTACTGCAATTCTTTTCCAATTTAGGGAAGAACTTACCTACATATTTCAGTGTTTCTAACTGTTCTGTCAAGGGGCGCAAGCACAAGTAGCTCTGAGGTTGTACCACCTCCCTGTCACTACCAACGCTGAGGTCATCGGCTGTTTCATACAATCATTGCTGGCAAAACAAGGGGAGTCAGGATGCCGACCACACGGGCAGAGTCCAGGTGCTGGCCAAGAAATACTCAAGTCGCAGTCCTTCACTTTTTAGATGCGTCATTTAAAGTAATGACTCCCTCTTTCCTAGGGCACTTGGCAAAGCGCCTGCCAAGACTCGACCAAAGCTGGTGTTCAGGTCACAGTGACTTCTATCACAGCGTCTTTCTGTTGTGCATCAGAACCAACCGGTACCAAAAAATCGTAAAAGAAAAAGACGGTAGTCACCATTTCTGCCAAAAGCATTTCCCTGCCTCTTCTACTTCTACCCTATTTCTCTGCCATTTATCATAGAATCACAGGATGGTTGGGGTTGGAAGGGACCTTAAAGGCCACCCAGTTCCAACCCCCTGCCATGGGCAGGGACACCTCCCACCAGAGCAGGTTGCTCACAGCCCCATCCAGCCTGGCCTTGGACACTTCCAGGGATGGGGCAGCCCCAGCTTCTCTGGGCAACCTGTGCCGGGTCTCACCACCGTCAAGGTTTCCCTTAGATGAGAGCGTTTCTGCTATGGGGTCTTAGGAGAGTGCACATCACTCTGGGGTTGCATAAAGAACTGCTATCAGTAGCCTGCCACTACGCAATTAAACCCCTGATTGAAACGAACAATAAATAAAGAGAAAGACATACAGGTTTTAAATATAGGTTTCCATTAAAAGCATTACAAAGACGACTTCTCTCATTTTGAAGACAAAGAAAAAAAAATCCACTTCTACTAAAAAAGGAAAAAAAAATATTTAAAATCGCCCCTTTGCAAGTAACTTTAATGAGGAAAGGTGCAGGGAAGGGAGGGAGAGAGGTCTTGGAGAACTAGCAAGTGTTCAAAAGGGCGGATGCCCTCCGTCTCGGTCATTTTGCAATGGCACCTTCTTCTCACACAGTCAGGTCAGAGAGCCAGAGAGTCCTCACGTGGAGGATTTCACCACCTGCTCGTAGGGAGGAGGTGGTGTGTTGCAGTAGGAAGGTGGGGGTGGGTAAACCGGGTTTCCTTGTGGGGAATTGGGCTGGACGTGGAAAGCCATAGCCATGGGATTCATCACAGGTCCACCTGGATCTGTGTAATACGGCACTCCGGATTGTTGCGACCCTGAAAGAAAGAAAAGGAGAGAAAAGGTATCAACAACGGCAGCGGCATCAGGTCGTGCTCTTCCAGGGCCTGTGCTCTGCACACTCGGACAAGTTTTCTCAAAGTGTTCATCAAAGACAAGGAGCCACCTTCCTTCCATTCCAGAGAAAACCCAGGCTTGCAGGACTACATTCACTTCTTGAGATTTCACCAAAAAGTTTCATTTTTGTGTGCAATGAAAAGCATTTAGTGAAACAAAGGGCTTTCTATGTGAAAGGGAAAACAGCAAGCCCTGCTCAGTTCCCCGGACAGAAAAGCTGCCATGCCTGCAGAGAGGAGAGGTGTGGGATCCCAGATGGACAAAGGGGTTTCCACTGCAGCCTTAACTTAGGTGTCAAGTCTTAGGAAGTTACAGATTATTTTGTGGTGTACTGGATCTGCCTGTAAGCCAAAACGCGTCTCAAAGAGGTAATTTCCCTTCTAGGCACAATACAGCTAAGGAGTAAGCATGTACGAAGCAAAAACCCAAGCTGAAGCCAATTATGGCTGGCTAACACAATGGGACAAGATTGCTTTGCCCAGATTAAATTTAGGAAATGACGTTGGAGCCTGCAGGAACAAGGAAAGGAAATGTACGATCAAATGCAAAATTCCTTAGCCGTGACACATGAGGAGTAACAGAGACGGCTGCCATGAGGAACAACAAAGGTGGCGTGTAACCCTCCTCAGATATCACAGCGGTGGCGGAAGACGACTTAATGCAATTCCAGCAAATAAAGTCAGAGACTGTGTTTATCTGAAGATGTAAATTAGTTTTCTTCTCTTTCTCTCTGTTTAAATAAAGCTGGATCGCAAAGAAAAAAAAAAAAATCATGGCTGAGCAACAGGTTTTCTTCTTATGGTGCTAGTCTGTTTTTCCTAGAATGACACAACCTCTAAAGGATTTTGCCATCAATCATTCCTTTCCATGACTTAGTGACACTAGGACTCGGTATTGCCACAGAAGGAACCCAGGCCTCCTGAAGCTTTAAACACCCTTTAGTATTTCAAGCGTTCAGGAAGGAGCTACATGCCGAACCCAACAACGTGTCCTTACAATACTGAATCAGGTGGGTCGAGCTGTAAGGGACGGGGACGCAAACTGTCCCAGAGCCTGGGGTCTCCGCCTAGGGAGCTTTGTTTGGACCCTTGGGAGTAAAGAGGACGGAAAGCAGATTGGGAACACAGCTATTTCCTTCTTAACACAATAATTTTTAACACACCACCACAATGATTTTTCCTTTCGCCCGTCTGAGCAAAGAGGGTTGCTCTGCAGCCTCTTCCTTTGCCACAGCGATGAGAAGCCCTCGTTCTGCTTCCGTGGAGAGCATTGGCACATGGCTGCGGGAGAGCCAGGCCGGGAACAGGAGCCAAGTCCTACCTCTCCAAACTTGGGGCTAATAGTCTCTTCTGTAGCCTTTTTCTTAAGCATTTTTGTTTTAAAGTTAAATCCTGCCCAGCTCTGCATTTCTGCAGTTTCCATCTGCATGGGGAAATGGGAGAGGTTGAGGTAGCTCACTGCACCTTGCTCTTTAGGAAAACAACTGTTTTCATTAAAACTTCAGCGTATTATTATTGAATTTGGGGAGGTGAGGCAAGTGTGGACATCAATCTTTTGAGATATTTTTTCAGTTCGTTAAACCCACCAGAAAACACCACCTGAATATCAACTTCCTTGTGGGATCAGCTCGGTAAGTATTTGTTAAGCGTCTACAAAAGGATCCAACTTTTTCTAGCCACTTTGGGGCTATGTAAGCCAGGCCTGAAGTGAAAGATACCATCAGGTCTTCCAACTGCTGCTTGTAGGTGAGGTGTTCAATTCATTTCCCCAGTCAGGCCCACAGAAAAAGCACTCCTGCTTCCAGGCTGCTGCTGGGACGGCAGAAGATGCTGCCGTTATCTCTGCAAGGAAGGAGGGCGATGGGCAAGGAGCCACGCTTCAAGGGCTCCACCTCAACAGTAAACTGGCTACTGCTACCAAATCTGGAAGAGGAGCTAGCAGAAAAGGAGAACTTGCTTGACTACTAATTCCCATTGCTTTTGCTGTTGTATATTCCTAGAATAGTAGAAAAAAGTAAGAGAAAAAATAAATTGGTGGGGTTAGCTCAGAGCCCAACGCTTTTAAGTCTGGAAGCAGGTGGCATAAGCAGGTCGTCAAAGGGCTTGTGCTTATTTTATATTTACCCACAACTTGTGTTCCATGAAGTGTCACGAAAAAATAAAACCGTGCTCTAAAATTAAATCTGGGATTTGCCAGTCCAGCCAAAGACGCTCTCTGTTCACATAACCTTGAGGTAATTTTTCAGGCTTAAAAATACTAGTTTAGTTAGTTTGGCTCCCCGCCAACCCTCCACTGTTGAAAAATAAATACTCTCTGTGGAAATGCTTGTTGAGTCAAGCAGAAAAACAGATGCAGAATGGAAGCCCTAAAAAACCCTCTTAAACAAAAAGAGGGTGAATAAAGTGTCAGTTTGTGTCTGTAACATCTTTTTATCCATTTAGACCTGTGAGAGAGAGGTGGGGAAATGCATGCCTATAAGGACATGCTTAAGGATGCAAGAAAAAGCATTTCCAAAGCCTGAAGAAGGCATGCAGGTGTGCAATAGCCAGCATGACAGCGGGGAGAGCCCAAACACTGCATCTCTGCACAATGTTTAGGGGGGTTAGAGGGTTTAAACCCCCTACGAGGGGTTTAGGACACTTTTCTAAGGAGGCTGTCTTGAGGCAGCCACAGTATTGCACAGAGATGTAATGATTCAGAAGACAATTTTTGATAGAGAGGTTTGAGGCACTAAATTTTCAGAGAGATCTTCCTTCTCATTACAAAATATTCAGTTGTATTTCCACTTCCAAGCCAGTATGAAACACAACCAAATTGCCAACTCCAAAAAAAAAAGTTGTCGGAAAAGATAATTATCCTCTGGCTTCAGTTCTCTCTAATACAACGTGCGATAAAATGACAACCTGGGAGGAAAAATGTCAGTGCACCAAGGGCGCCTGCAGACGTGTGCGTGTGCTTTCGCTGGCACAAATTAGCACTGGCTTATGCAATCTGCAGAGTGGTTAAAAATGCCTCAGTTTGGCCTTGCTCAGGCAGGGAGAAAGCAAGCGCTGGTGTGCACTCAGCTAAAATCTCAGCACTGTAGAAGGTCTTCCAGCTAGAGACAGCTGGATTCAAAATGCTCCCATAAGGCACAAACATCTTCTGCTTACAGGTGAGTCTTATTTTGCAGGATTCTCCCAACTGAGACTACCTAACAGCCAGAAAGGAAGAAATAACAAACTTAGAAAGCGGTAGGTATTCCCAGAGAAGCCATCACTAGGTAGATCCTCCTTGATGCTTGCAGACTTTACTGACCAGAGAGACAGGAATCAGACTAACAAGGGGAGAAGGACCACTTTGCTGCAGAAAAAAACTGTAGCACAGAGAATGGAAGGCAAATGAAAAAGAGAAGACTTGCAAGACAGCCAGATCGTGGAAGAAAAGTGTTAGGCTTTCCTTCACCTCTGCCAGATGTTATCAACTGTATTTAAAACTCTTTCTTCCTGGCACTGTTCATTTTGGATACCTATCATTTTGTCTACGCTGCAAAGCCAGAACTTGCTAGCCTCCTTGCATGCATGGACACGCAGCTGTAAAGGCATTAGGAACCACAGCAGAAGGGAACTGAAAGTCCTGTCACCCTGGGTTTCAAAAACGCTTCTGTACACTGCAGCTGAATTACGCTTTTTGAGAGGCAGAAGACTTCACTCATCACAGGAGGAGGCTGCATGGTTTAGTGCAGCGCAATCCCTTGTCCAAATCCCACAGTTTCCAAAAACCCAACGAAACCAAACCCCCAAACCCACCCTTGTCGAACGCCTTGGCAAATGTAAGAAATTAGTGAAACTTGCTTAATGAGCAGGCTCTGACCTGATGCAGTGTTGACTGGTTGTCTGGTGTAAGACACGTTAAAAGTAGGTTCTTCTACTAGTGGAGGAGGGTACATCCGCCTTCGGATAAAGAAACCAGCTCCGCAACAGAACAAAACTCCCATCATCAGAAGGAACCTAGGCAAAGAGAAGAGGGAAGTCAAAACCCACCTGCCTTCAGGCAGCTCTCAAACCCAGACTGTTCGTTGAGAGAAACAAGAGTATCGTCTAGCAATCATCAGCCTATGACTTTTATCAGGTTTTCTTAAACAGGTTGTCTCTTGGGAACAGGTCTGTGTCATTTGGGATAGCACTCATGGGGCACTTACGGATCTATTACGGACATTTTTAGCCATTAGTACTATTGTTCAATGTCTTCTGGCATGTAAAATACAAACCTGAATCTAAAATACCCTTGAACTTTTGGAAAGTTCAGGTTAATACCTGACTTTTGCCACCAGGACGCTGAACTGAAATTCCAGGTCGGTACAGTTTCAAACTGCATATCTTGGACACAAGCCTCGTGCTTACAGCATCGAGGTTGGCCAGGAGGTTTGTTGGGGACAAAAAAAGGAATACTATTCTGCAGTTGCCCTTAAAAAAAGATTCTTAGATGTTCTTAAATTACTCAACACTGTAATTTTGTCTCCCATGGGAAATATGGCAGCTGGCATTTAAGGTCAAGGCAGAACACTGAAGCATTCAGCACTGAAGATGACAAGCTTTGCCTTTTGCTTCCTAGGTGGGATATACAAGGAAAAGAACAGCATTTTGCTTCGGTTCTTCTCCTCTCAGCTCCTTTTCCGACCTGACTAAACTGTCCTCATCATTCCCTTGCCCGAGTGCTGTGGAACCAGGCACATGCAGCAAGGGCACGTCAGAAGAGTTTTGTTCTTCCGACAGTGGCTTTCACTGCGTTCCCTTGATGAGGTATCAGACCTGCAGGTGACTGATGCAAGCTCCCGTAAACCCAAACGGTTCTTCTGCCTGTAACTGCCATCTCATTTCAGGGCCTTTTACTGGAAGACAATGACAATCGGGCTTTTTTGGAAGGGATGGAAGTTGGTCAGAGGCCATCGAGGTTGGCCAGAGGCCACCAAAGTTGGCCAGAGGCAAGCCTACACACCATGCTTATCTCCTCTGGAGCATTCCCAGGTGCCTGCGAGGAAGAGTGTGACACTATGGCAGCGAGAGGTACTTCATGCAAGGGGTCAAATTCTGTTCTTGTTTCTACAGAGGAAATGAGAGCAGAAGGAGGTCCTGTTTCCCTGAGCCAATATTAATACATTCCCTTTTGGCAGCGTTCCTGCAAAGGATTTGTTCTGAACAGAAAACCAGAGATTTACGACGTCACCCCAGGGATTGAGATGCAGGCTCTTCAGTTATATCAGCAAGGACTGCACACTGAAATCCTGCAGTCAGCTTTGGGAAATCTCTGTATTATAGTATATACATCAGGCTTCTGTTTTTCAGTGTTTATTCATTTCAATTTTGAAGGTTTGTTTTTTTTTTTTTTTTAAGCAGTCTTCAAATTCTACATAACAATGCCTGAAATCAGGTTTTCTAGGAGCGCTTTTTCTTTCTCTCTACTGTAAGGAGAAGGTTTTATTCAGGTGCTTTCTTAAATTCCTCTCCAAAATGAATTTACCTTATTTTTTTCATTATGCATATAACAGTGATTAGTTTAAGCTTTATCCAGATTACTCAGCTGCTGGTTTCACAAGCTCAAATCTTTCTGCCTTCTTTTCCCTTGCTGTCATCTCCAGTGAAATCCTCATAGTCATAAATGTACTTCTCTTCCTTTTTAATTGAAGCCTCAATTCAGCTGGAAAGAATATCTTAAACCCTGCCTAAATGCACAATCCTCTTTATACAATCCTCCTTTGAAACTGAGTGCCCAACAAAAATGGACAAACGCTGCCGCTTGGTAGTAGCTGGGACAGGCATAAGCAATTTGGCAATTTTGGATAAAAGTGGGACTGCTGCCTGTACAGACCAGCAGGATGCAGAAGCAGGAAAGGACAACCTGACACCAGTAAACTCCTTTTCCAGCGTTTTCTCACTACCTCGGGAGAATTTTATAAGCAAAAAACCAAGGTCCTTGCATTTATATGTACACTTACACGTTACCGCATACTTGTACCTGCTTTAGTTTAAAATAGTAGGGCTGGCAATACCCTGATTCAAGTCCTACAAACCAGACAAGAACAGGACAAACATACAATTCCCAAACGCCCTGACCTACCAAAAATACCATAGTCGCTGGATAGAGAGAGCCCTTACGCAGCATCTTGAACCGCAGCAATCCTCGTAGGAGCGACATCTGCAGAGAAATAAAGAGAAAAGGGCGTTAGGGGAGTGGTTGTCACTCAGATTAAAACGGTATCCCCAACTCTGATGCCGTTCGCACCCCTGCCAGAGGTGCTATTTACGGCATCGCCCTGAGCCTGGCAGGCAAAGCCTCCTGGATGTGTTCAAGGCCAGGCTGGATGGGGCTTTGAGCAACCTGGTCTAGCGAAAGATGTCACTGCCCATGGCAGGGGGGTTGGACTCGATGATCTTTAAGGGTCCCTTCTAACCCAAACGATTCTGTGGTTCTAGGAATAAGAACAGACTACCCTTGGTTAGATAAAGTTGTCATTCACACGTACACAGCAGTGACACAGCTCTATCACTATTCAGGAACTTTTTGCATGTTATTGAAACTACCTTCCTATATACTTCTTTTAAAACCCCCTCAAAAAGACTGAATGAAGTCTTTAATTCTATATAAAAGGAGACGTTATGAAGAAAAGCAGTATTACTGTGTTTTCTTTCACAGTAAATGAACACTGCAGACCTCAAACATGAGCCATTTGGGGGTTTATTCACTGCAACGGACAAGAATCGCAAGGTCAAAGCTGCCAGACCACTCATTCTTTGCAAATCAGCAGCTTCCAAACAGAGAAACCCCCGAGTGCAGAGAAAACCTCAAGCGTACCGTTATTTGCAAATTTAATGGCATTTTTCGCTTCTCAGAAGTTGCACTGGACTGCAACTGCCAACAACTCCCATTATTTAAGCAGGCTTTCCTCTAAAAAAACCAAAACCAAACCAACGCCCACATTTCAAATTAATATTTTGTATGGCACAGAACCGTTTTAAAGGTGTTACGGCACCAACCACTGTAAGCACAAGGTACCACTTCACTAAAAGCCAGCACATACATTAACAGCAACCTCTGAACAATTTCTATGCTAACTACCGTTTCCCACACCAATAAAACACATTTAGTAGGAAAAAGGACAGAGGTCACACAGAAACTATGGTATGTGACATACACGGATGAAAACATTCAGATCAGCATATCCAGATACCAAAAGAAAAGAGGAGGTTACCACAACTGGATCGATCTTTTTAAGGGTGTTCACATCTGTATGCTCAGTACACATATTTAATTAAGCCCAACTGCATGACTGTGCTCCCATATTCGTATGCAAACTAAAACAACTCAATTGGATAATTGTCCAGACAATTACACATTTACATGCTCAATTAACAAGCCCTCGCTCACAAAATACATCAAGACACATAGGCTCCAGCCTCTAATTGGGGCCAGAGGAGGATGCTCTGTGGATACATAATCAGTTGTTTTGCAAGGGAAAACTCTTACACGCTCTTCTGATGGCAAGTAGGCAGGATTTATTTAAGCAAGCTGGAGGATCTGACATGATCAGCACAGCAAGGTCCATTACTATACTCGGGCACCCAGTTTGAGATTCAAGTCGAGTGAAGTTGCTCATGCCAAAAGAGAAAACACCCACTTTGCCATCCCTGAACCTGAAAGCGTCTCATCTCCAAGCTTTCTTCTTTACAGCTTGCCAGGACCCTAACAACTGCTCATCCTCAAACCTACCAGACCTCACAAAACTACTATCAAGACTTAGCAAGTCAGCATTAACTTCAGTTCCATCGGGACCAAGAAATTAAGCATTCCTCCGTGCTCCCCAAGTGGATCAACCCAACAGGAGCTTTCAAAACATACGTTAAATGCATGAACAGGATCAGACCCCTTACAAAACGGGGTGGCAGCCGCTGCCTTCTGTTAAACCAGTGCTCACCCCTTTTGCTCTTCAACACACATTTGGTTGGAGCACCTCATCCACGTTGACGGGCACTTGCCCTTTCTGCTGATGTTGCACAGCAAGGACTTTGTTGGGCCAGAAAAGCAGAGAGGAAACAAAGCCCAAAAATCTAGAAGCCCTTCTTGAGGCAATTAAGGCCCCCCCAAAAAGAAGGAATTTAGGGATGTGGGCAGTCTTTACCTCTGCCTCCACACACTGGCTCTGTCAGCCCAGACACCTACACCTGACCACAAGCAGGATGGGGAGCAGATGCGCCAGGTCAACCTCTGGCCCCAAAGCCATTTCCCAGATCAAGCCCCAAGAGTTTAACGTGTATTGAAAGTTAAACTAAAACAGGGAGCCCAGGGAGGCTGCACGTATGCCTCCCCCATGCCCACCCTTGCCTTCCTTATTTTGCATCTGTTTTGTCCAGAGCCAGAAGAGATGGGAAAAGGCTATTTTTAAAATATATCATTATGGTCATTCAAACCACCAAAATTAAAACAGCATCTGTATGATGAGTATAGTACCTGAAATTACTTTTTATTTTTAATCCCTACATGGTCTAGGCTACAAGACAGCACCATTTTTAAAGTCTCAGTGGCTTAGCTTTTCTTTCTGCAAAAGAGGGCTAAAGTACCAGCTGGAAGACAGAAAGGCTCAATCACTGAATATTTATAAAGCTCTCAAGACCACGGAATGGTAAACAAACAGGCCATCAAAGAGAAGTTTCATCTCCTACACAGATGATTGCACTTTCAAATGGCTGAAAACAATGATGCAAAGGATGGAGGAGTCTCTCACGGTGGCTGTGAGAAGGTCCTTTAGAGACGGTCCTTTAGAGAAAGTCCATTTTCTAACAGCCAATAAGCTTTCTGAGCCAACTGATCCAAGGCTAAGGACTGCATTTGCCAGGTGGATCTGTGAAGCTAAACCAGTATCACGACTCGGAGGGAAATCCCTTTGAGATCTGCCACTACTGACCCTTTCACTTTTTACCCATAAAACCAAACAGGCGCTTTATTTTGTGTGCCTGCAAGTATGGACACACATACCCAGATGTAGGAGCCTGGAATCAAGGATGATGCCATGATAACAACCTGCTGTTTGTATTCCCCACCACCTGATAACAGCCCCAAAAAAGACTGGAAGAAGAAATGGTCCATTTGCTGACATTGCCCGTGAGGGTACCGCAGAAGCTCTGCTGATCTCTTGTTCTTGATTCAATGCGCTATGAAAAAACAACACAACCTCTGACAACATCGATCCCAATTACAAGAAAATTAACTTACAAAAGCCGTACTTGTTAGCAGGCAAAAGACGACAATAAAATCAGCTTATTAATGGAGTCATGTACAAGCTTAAGTATAATCAGTCTTTGATGTATTCTCTCTTACTGCCTGACAGCAAATCCCAGCAGAATTAAGACCCTGGTTCATAAAAAAAAACCAAAACAATTAAGCACACACAGATATATTGCTGAATAGGTATGCATATTCTTTAAATTACACTCACGCTTTGGCTCTGCTTTACGAAGAAAGACTGGTTGTGCCCATTCCCAGTTAAAGAAGAATAAGCCTTACTATCGATCTGAACTGGACTGAGCCCATCTCTTACCGAAGGCTTTTCTAAAGCCAATTTCCCTCTTTCACACATCAACAATGATCCCGAGAACTGCAATTCCCTAGGGCAATGCTTGTTTCATTGATCAAAATTTAACCCATTACACAGGATAAAACATGATCCATTAGTTGCTTTGCTAATCTGCAACCTCACCAAGCATACGGCCTCTTGAAAACTGTCTGCAATGTGATTTATGATTTAGAAGGTCCCTCTTTTCATTCATAATTCAGTAGAATGAAACGAATGCATCTGCATGTCCAACGACTTGTACTGCCAGCACACCAAGGAACTGCTGCATCAGAGATCAAAGTTACGTTGCGCGTCAGCTCACAGCGACAAGCTGTTTGTATGGGTTCGCACTTAAATCATGACGTTGCATTTCTTTCCTTAATGGACAAGCGAAGCACAATATTTCACGTAAGGGTACATCCTATGACCCAAACCCCACAAACCAACCCTGTACTTGCATGTGTTCTGCAGATAATAACTGCTCAACGAAATGGTTCAGAAGCTCTTTTCCATTTATACCTGCATCTATGCGCTGAACAAGTCCGTTCTTAGCGGAGCTGCCGCAGCAAAGAACTACATTTAAAAACAATTCCCTGATTGGCACTTACTGAAAAGTGGAGAAATTAAAGAGGTAAGGCAAGGATTACAGTCTTCGGTAGACTGTATGGCCACAGTGGTCTGACAACATTCCCTGTCCTCACTCAGCGCGGGTATTGCCCATCGACGCCATCCCTTTGACATGCAGGCTGTAGCGTTCTTAGGTTCACTTTCTAGACTGCTTGTACCTTGCACGCCAAAATCTGATTTAACATTTAAGATGTTTGATTAGCAATGTATTTTGGAAGAGTAAAACAAAACATAAATTGTTAATCCACATGTCATAGCAGAAACCCTACTGTAGACATGGAGACAGAGGATGGGAGAGTGAAAGAAAACCACAAAACCCCCACAACAACCAGATAAAGCAAACTACACAATATCTAACCAGCGTCCTGAAGACAAGCCTGACTTTAATTCTAAAAAAGGTTGCATGCCAGTCATAGGTTAAATGATTGCCACATGTACATGTAAGATCTACGAAGCAAGCAGATTCATTGGAATACAAGAAGCACTGGAAGTTTTTGAAGTGAGGGGGAGAAAACCAAAGGCAGCCAAGAAGTTAGGTGAAGGAGGATATTTAGGCACTGGAACGGGCTCCCCAGGGAGGTGGTAGACTCACCATCCCTGGAGATGTTCAAAAAACGTTTAGATGTGGCATTTTGAGACATGGTTTAGTGGGTTTAGCGGGCATGGTGGCATCGGGTATACGGTTGGACTTGATGATCTTTGAGGTCTCTTCCAACCATAATGATTCTATGATTCTATATAGCAATAGACCCAAACTAAGAACAGAAAAGAAAGATTTTGGAGGGCATGGCTAGTCGCATCAGATGAAGCTAAGGCAGTCCCAGCTGTGGTCCTAATACTGGCCTGGGCAAAAGACCAGAAGGAGAACCACAAGTGCTCAGAAGAACTGGAAGGGATGGACTGCCAAGACTGGGTCACCTCCAGGCCGACCCAGTGCCGAGTCCTCAAAGCCAGAAGGCTC